TATATATATATATATATATATATATAATTTGTTAAACTTTGATAGAATTTGAAATTTTGTTAAAACGCTGACAACTAAACTACTAGATTACTATATGTGTTATTTTTGTTTTCACTATTGAAATGCACTTCGGATGCTTAAAGTGATTTTTGACAATAGAAGCCCAACCAAAAATAATAATCACCCGTAGCCCAGTGCCCCAGTCCATCGAATTAAAAATACTCAAATGTTTTTTTTTTCTTTAGTCGAAATTCGAACCAGAGCAACTCACACTCTCACTGCCACCACGAGTTCGTGTCAGCAAACAACAGCACATCAGGCCGTCCGGCGTGGCCACTGCCCTCCCGTCCGCCGCACCATTCATTTCCGGTTCAAACAACACCAGTGCTACCGACAGTCTCCACCACGACACAAGTCCACACTTGCTCCTCTCTTAAGGTATTTAAGTATTACTTCTTCTAAATCTTTTGTTACGTGATACTTGTTATTTGTTCATAATTAATTCTTTCCTTGTTTGTGTTCAATTGTTACCTTTGTAGTGGTTAAATTTGTTTGGTTTTATTGAAAATAAAATCGTTAATTGTTAGGGTTTGTAACTTGGTAGATTGTTAACTTAGGTTGGCTTTTGTTGTCCTTCAGTTATTTCCCTTATCTAAATCAATTATTAACTGGTGATTTTTAGTAGATAATAATTGTTTATTTGACTTAATTTAATTCTTGAAAATGTTGAAAAAAGTAGAATTAGCTAATTCTTATATTATATGGCCAGAAAAAAATGAAGATAGCTCTGAAAAGGAAAATACCACCGGGAATTGATATTGAGGATAATGGAGGGGAATCTTCAAGTGAAGATGACTCTGATAATATATCCCAACCTAGTTCTATATTTTCATTTGGGGATACAAGTATTCAAGATCATACAAATATTTCCAAATCAAAAGCCAAAACCATTCTTGAAGAAATTGGTGATGATGTGTTTAGCTTGTTGTTTGATGTGCCTGATCTTGAATATACAAAGAAACAAATCATTTTGGTTTTTCGTTATGTTGATGCATTTGGAATTGTTCATGAGAAAAATTTTGGTCTCGTTAATGTGTTGGAGATATCTGCATTATCCCTTAAATCTTCCATTGATTCTTTTTTTGCTCAAAATGGACTCAGTTTGAAAAAAGTTAGAGGTCAAAGTTATAACGGAACAAGCGATATGCGTGATGAGTTTAATGGTTTAAAAGATTTAATCAAAAAAGAAAATAGCTCGGCATATTATGTACATTGTTTTGGTCATCAACTTGAGTCGGTTGTTGTGGCAATTGCAAAAACACATTTTGGTGTTGGGAATTTCTTTGACATGATAGCCATTCTCAACAAAGTGGTTTGTACTTCTTGCAAACGAAAAGATATGATTCGAGAAAGTGACAAAAAGAAAGTACAAGAAGCTATCAGTATTAGTGAAAATGAAAATGCGCTAAATCATCTTTTTTCAAGTGGTGGAAATAAGGTGATTGATTTTCACCGCAACACACTTTCGCATGTGCTTCATGTGTTTCCTTCTATTTTTAAGGTGCTTGAATATGTTGAAGAGGAAGGTGATACTAGTTTGAGTCCACGTCAAGCAAATGGGCTCCATATCTATTTAAAATCATTTGATTTTGTGTTCTATTTGCACTTGATGTTGCAAATTTTAGGGATTACACATGTATTGCCACGAGCTCTTCTAGGAGAAGGTAAAGATGTCCTGAACGCTATGTTATTGGCTAAATCAACTAAGCAGGTATTGGAAAAGTTTAGAGCTGATGGGTTTGATTCACTTTTGAAGGAGATCTTTTCTTTTTGTGAAAAACACGATATTGGAACAATGAAAAGGGCCGAAGATTATGTTAATCCAAAAAACCCTAAACAAAAGACTGATATCACGTATCGACAGTATTACGAGTTTGACTGTTTTAACACTGTTGTGAATGCGCAAATTGAAGAGTTTCATGATCGTTTTAGTGAAGAAAGCTCCGAATTGCTTATTTGTACAATTGCTTTGAATCCACGTGATTCATTTCGTGAGTTTAACCGATCAAAGTTACTGAAGTTGGCTAAGATGTATCCAGATGATTTTAGTTGTGCGGAAATGATGATGCTTGAGCATCAACTTGACTTCTACATTGACATTATTAAAAAAGATAAAATATTTGTTAACTTGGAAAGTATTTCTGACCTTGCTAGAGTGATGGTGGAAACAAAGAAACATATTGTGTTTCCATTAGTCTATCGATTATTGAAGCTAGCATTGGTTTTACCTGTTTTATAACCTTTTTAATATGAGTTATTGTTCATGTTAAGAGCAAAACAGTCACTATATCCTAAATGGTGATTTTGTGTTCTCAATTGATGGCTTTAGTTTAATCTGAAAACTATCAACTAAAACCTTCATTATGTATTTATATCTTTTTAAAAGAAATTTTAACAAAATGTTTTTGCTATTTATTTGTAATTCAGATATTGGATGAATACTTTTTGGTCGACCTAAATAATTTGTAGTATCAGAGATAATGCAAAGATACATATAAAGTTATAAACTGATAAGTGAATGTGATGGTGATAGGTGGCCAAATCATGACCTGGCTAGAAAAATTCCATTGAATGACGTATATTTTCTCCATCACCAGCTTGGCAATCACATCGTTTGATAATGATTATTTATGACTTTTATTATTACTTGTGGTGATAAAAAAGCCAACATTCAAAAAGAATGAGCCACAAAACGATATTTCTATTAAACTTGCTTCATGATTTATTTGGCTATATATTAAAAAGTATTTTAAGAATATCTTTACAACCGAAGACATTCATGAAAAGGATACATAAGCAAGGATACATATCTATTAAATACTTAATTAAAAGGATACATAAGCAAATATAAATACAAAATATATGTTCATTGCACATATCACAATGTAATTGAATACAAATTAACTATTTCAAACCCAAAAAGGTTGAATACCAACAACCGCATCCTCCTTACACATCGAATACAAAAATATGTTTAAAGCCCACTGTGTGAGAGATAAATTAAAAAAACTCATACTATCACTTCCAAACCTCATAAGAAGGCTATTTTTTATTCCAAACCCCAAACATGTCACATCGAACTTAGTCTCTAGACAAATACATATCAACTAAATTTATATATATATATATATATGGTTGTTTTGTAAACCCCATTCTTTTCCATTGCTATGCTTATCAAAAGCCACCACCACCACCACCATCTCCGCCTCCACCTCCGCCATGACCACCACCATCACCACCACCAGCATTATCAACATATACCCCATTTACGAAACCAGAGCGACCCCCTCGACGATGTTTCTTACGGGAATGATGATCATCAGAGTCACCACCACACACAAAGATGATTATAGAAAGAATAGACATTGAAACCAGAATCATACATACTAATAACTCGATATGTGAGTCCTTGAGAATTCCATTTCCACCAAGCTCAATAAACCGAGCCATGTTGGTGGCCACTATGATGAAGAAGGTGGCTATTGATGTGGTTGGAGTTTTTCTGTTAGATTGCCTATGGTTCAGTTTATATGTATAGGAAGTTTGACCAGGTCAAGGACTCAATTATTTGTGTTGGAATAAATGGATATTTTAAAAATGCGTTGATATTTTATAGCGCTTAAAAATCTTATTTAATAATTTTATTATAAAAAATATGTTGACAAAACTTTCATCCTTACGGAACTCATATTAAATAATTGGGATTTGAGAATAAGCTTGGTTTAAAAAATTGTGATTCGCTGGATGATGCAAGACAGATGTTTGATGAAATGCTTTAGAGAATCTTTTGGTTGTATGTTGCTCTTATAGATCTTATAGATCTAGGAAATAGGTTTTTGGTGATTTTAATATCATCAGGTAATTGGAATTTATACGAATGCAAAAGGTAACTTAGACTCAGAATGCACATTTGTAAAAAGTACATGAAGGTTGATATGGTAATTTCTCAAAATGAAGGTTAAATCTATTGAAAGATATCAAGGAGTTAGTTTTAGTATGTGATGCAAAGTAAAGGCCCTTGTAAAAGGAACATGAAATGTACAACTGCTAAAGCACAGATACAGTATTAACCGGTATTACATGACAACATCCAAACTCACTTAACCTCATCAGCTACAAGGGAAGTAAAGAAGAGGAGAGTCTATGGGGTTTTACTTTTTTATTCAATTAAAATGGAATTTTTACATTTCATATCGTGGTACACTTCCTCTTCATCAAAACATCATATCATAATGTACCTCATGTCTAGATTATGCTGCCAGAAGGAATCAACGCGTCTTTGATAACTGTAACGATCCCGCTTTTTATAAAGTACCCATCTGTTTCCCTTGCTGCTTCTTGAACATTATCGGTGTTTATAATCTGACATCACAAAAGAAAATTGTAAACATCAAATCTTTCTCATCTTGTGATATGTTGAATGTTTTTTCCTATCCAAAAAACAGTAGAACATGGTGGCACACAACTATAGTCAATAGGAAAAAGATTTGAATATTTTGTCTAACCCATAAAGGTAGAAAAGGGTGGTGGGTCAAAGACTATGATGCCAATATAGGACAAAAATTGATGTCACTAGGCCATGAATTGCAATTTTTTGTCTCCCAAACAAGGTGGTGGGAAAGGGGGATCTCATGTTAATAAGACAAAACTTGCAACTTTTTATTCCATCAAAAAAGGTAAACTTGCAACTTTTTATTCCACCAAAAAAGGTAAAAGAATGAGGACTAATGTTAATAAGACAATACTTTTGTTCCACACAAAAAGGTAAAAGAAAGATGACTAATGTTAATAAGACAAAACTTTTGTTCCACCCAAAAAGGTAAAAGAAAGATGACTGATGTTAATAAGACAACTTTTGTTCCACCCAAAAAGGTAAAAGAAAGAGGACCCAAAAAGGTAAAAGAAAGAGGACTGATGTTAATAAGACAAAACTTGCAACTTTTTGTTCCACCAAAAAGGGTAAAAGAAAAAATAAGACTAATGTTAATAGGACAAAAATTGGAAATTTTTTGTCTATCCAAAAAGGTATAACAGGATGGAGGGTGGTACTGATATCAATAAAACAAAAATTACAACCTTTTGTTGTACACAAAAAGAGTGGGACCAGGGTTAATGTTCAATAGGACAAAAACTGCAACTTTTTGTTATACAAAAAGTAGAACAAGGTAGGACGACAAAAACAACAACTTTTTGTCCTACCCAAAGAGAACAACGTGGGACCAGGGCTGATGTTCAATAGCACAAACTACAACTTTTTGTCTCACACAAAAAGGTGGGACCAGGGGATTGATGTCAACCGGAAAAAAAGTTAAAACTTTTTGTCCGAACCAAAAAGGTAAAGGGACTCGTTCTCAATTTGTTGTTTGTGCAAAAGACATAAATGCCCTCATCAGCTTCATGTGAGCTAGCCCTAGAAAGTCTGTTGAGTAGTCCATGCAACAAAATATTGAACTGAAAGCAAGTTATTACAAGAAGTTACCTTAACATTGTCTCCTATGCGTGCATTCTTGTCAATAATCGCTCTTTTGATATGAGTATTCTTCCCAATACCAATTGGAACACTACCTTTCGCAGCAAGAAGCTCCCTATCAGCATCCGTCTGCAAAATAGATAAATTTCAATGATAATTGTAATATTTTATAACCGAGAAAAATAATTTTTTAAATTATTACCTCGTAATAATCTGCTCCCATCAGCAATGAATCTTCAATTACTGCACCTTCAGCTATGCAAGATCGAAGACCAACAACCGAATGATGAATCTTGCAGTTCTGTACAACAAAGTTTTTTAAAACTTATTATCATATCAATTCATAAGAAAAAAAAAAGTGTCACATCAATCATGTTACGACATTTTCGATAAAAAAATGGCATTGATTATGATTTTCTAACCTTAATGACACACCCTTCACCAATAACACTATCGGTGACATCAGCATCAAGCATCTTGGAAGGAGGTAGGTATCGAGGTTGAGTGTAAATCGGGGATGATCGATCATAAAAGCTGCATCAAATATCCAACACCATAAATGTCTGTGACTTTGACTGTGACTGTGACTGTGGTTGTGACTGATGTCAGGTTTAAAGATGAAATTACCTGAAATCTGGGATTGGCTTTTTTGTGATTCCCAAATTGGCATTGTAAAAGGCCTCAATGGTACCAATATCTTCCCAATAGCCATCATAAAGGTAAGCTTGTACCTATATAGATTATATAAAAAAAATTATAACCATATTGATTACTTGTTTTTAAAAAAAAAAAAAAAAGTTAAAAGAAACATACTCTTAGGCCAATAGAAGTTGCACCAGGGATAACTTCACTTCCAAAATCATTAGCTCCAGGAAACTTATCCCTCAGCAAATCCAACATTACATCTTTGCTGACAACATATATTCCCATACTAGCAATATAAGGCATCTCTTTAGCTCTCTCTTCATCAAGCCCTAAGATTGTGGTATCAACTTTCATAGCTTTTAGTTGCTCTCCTTTTGGTTTTTCTGCAAATTCAATTATACGCCCTTCTTCATCAATCTTCATTAGTCCAAACGCAGTTGCACGTTTTTCATCCATTGGTAAAGCTGCTACAGTGATGTCAGCATCAGTTTCTCTATGAGCTTGAACAAATCTCTCATAATCCATTCGGTATAAATGATCTCCAGCAAGGATTAGGTACTCTAGAACATTATGCTCTTCAAATAGCCACAAATACTGCCTCACTGCATCAGCAGTCCCCTGTAACAAATTGAACATAAATAGTTTCATGACATTTTTACCCTTTCTGAAATCACAGAATCATGTCTTGATTGTTAATGAATTACCTGGAACCAGTTTGGATTTTCTGGGCTTTGTTGAGCAGCAAGGACTTCAACAAACCCTTCGTTCTTGTAGCCACCCATGTTGCTTGCATAAGCACGTGACAGGTGGCGATTGAGTGATGCAGAATTGAACTGTGTAAGAACATAAATCTTTGATATGTTGCTGTTTAAACAGTTGCTTACAGGAATGTCGATAAGCCTGTAGTTTGCTCCTAAAGGAACAGCAGGCTTTGCCCTCTTCTTTGTTAAAGGGTAAAGACGTGTCCCAGCTCCACCTCCAAGTATTATCCCAAGAACACTCTGCAGAAATCAGACATGCATTACAAAGCCTGGTTGTTGTAAGAGTAATAAGCCATTTATATCAAACAAGAGATGACAGGAATGCATTACAAAATTACACAAAAGCATGGATTCTTTAGCTAATTGAGATATTCTCGATAACAAAGCTCATGATCATAAAAATATTGAGTTCGATTCATCTTCTAGCATCGTGAAATCTCAGATTCGCTGTTAGTTTTTGCTTCTCACAATATAATTTAACTGATTTTCTTTCCTTTTCTCATATCCATTATCGATATGAACGAGTAAATCTCTTTCTCTCTCCTAGGTGAATTTCATCTATCACCTTTCGTGAAATCACGAATAGTTCCTCGACTTCTACTTCTAGTGAATTTCAATTAAGTTTTCTCCAGAATCATGTCTACAAACTTTACAGAATTATAGTTCACCACGCATTATTACTCTACTAGATCTGAACAGAATTTTAGTTCAAAATTTTCGAAAATTGCGTGAAAATATCTGAGTTCAACATACAATTAATTGGTGATCATACTGAAAATGACAGATAGAAAACGAGGGACCATACTTGACTAGCGTCAGGATCAAGACATGTCTGCGAATTTTTGGAATCGGAAACAGCTTTGGGAGAAACAACCACCGAAGCTCTACCTCCATGACGGCGTGGTCGCACGGATGATACCGAAGATACCTTGTCTCCGGACAGATGAGACGAAGCAAACGATAAACTCCGAAAGGACGACGACGAAGAGCTGAGGTCTCTCCGTTCGGCAGCAATGCCGGAGGAAGAAGAGAAGCAAAGAGGTGGCTTCAAGGCTCCGACCGCTGCCATTGATAGCTACAGAGGTGAAAGTGCGTTTGTGAGCTTGAAAGAGACTGAACTCGTGAAGTGTGGGGTGGAGTGTAGTGGAGTATGATAGATCTGGAAAACTACTTCTTCGTATCAATCTATGAAGCTTGTAAATTCTCGCTTTTGCCCCTGAGTTTAATTCGATTTTACTTCTCGTTACAAATGAGGAATACATGAATTCAAAATGACTGATTTAAACTCTTGTTTTATTTTCAAAGGTTAAAGACAAAATTACATAAATGGTTTCTGTCATTCTGTGGTAAAGGGACCATTTATGTACTTTTATGGAAGGTTAAATTTTACAAAAGAATGATAAAATATAATAATTTGTTACATGGTTAAAAAGTATGATAGATTTTTTTTAACATTTAGCCCACCAAATAAAAGGTGTATGAATTTACTCCAAACCTAATTATTGAATCTGTAGTTGAAAAAATTGTTTTGTAATGTTTGATAAAATTAATTTTGATTAAGATTTATGTTGGTAAAAATATATGTTTTTTCTAAATAGAAAATGTAGTTGTAAAAAAACATTTTTTTACAAATAATTATTAATTATATAATCTTTACTAACTTCACTCGTATAATATCGATTTCTAAAATTAAAAAATGCAATAGTTAATTTAAAATTCCACCTGTAGAAGCTTGTTGCATCTCAAGACATTGTTTAGCTAAAGTTATAGATAGTTAGATAATTTTTGTATTTGTTTAGAAAACAGCTTTGTTGTTACAATTTTCGCCACATTTTATTTTTAAAGAACATGGCTGTTAGTGGAGGGCAATATGGGTAATTTGAGGCAATTGAGCAGGCTTGTCAATATTCACGTGGCCCTTGTGTGAATCTCTCTTTTAGCGACGGACTTTATTTGCTTAAAATAACGGCGTCGTATTATGTTGATTAATTTAAAATTTTGGTCACGTGAGCTGGTTACTTTGAGTGAAGAAGAGGACATGGGAAGGGTATATTTGGGAATAAATAAATGAGGGGAACCGCCCTGTTCCGTTATAACTGGACAGTGCAGCTCTGAAATTAAGGGATAAGAATCCTCTGCTTTCCTCCATGTCGATTTTAATAATTATTTAATATATTTTTATTCTTCTAAACATGACTACTTCTACGCTTCTTTACATGGGTAAAATCGTCAAATTGCACCAACAGAATGGCCCCTGAATTTAGTAGCTTTTTGTAATTTAGGGACGTAAACTTTTAATGTTATAATTTTGGACCAGATAGTTTCTTTTTTCATGGGCAGCTTCGTCATATCCGTTACATCTCTTATCCCTTCATAGTTTAGCATCACTTTTTGCTATCACTACATTTTCGTGATTGATGCCTATATGGTTTGTTACAATGTTTTTCAAAGAAACCATTGCAATAGTTCATATCTTTCATTGTCTTTGTCTTCACTATAACCATAACCAGGTTCTAACAATAACATTTAATTGGTGCTTCAAATGTGTACCATCTAACCGGAGAACCAGCTTATCGATCATGAAAACATCTACTGTAAATGTATCCATATAGGCGATATATGGATGGTCAAACTATGTGGATCTATCAGACTCGTGGGAGTTTCATATGCATGACCTCGATTGTATTGTATAATGTTAGATTACATCGATGGAAAGCCCTTGGTTTACCACTAGAAAATCTTAAATGATCTTAATTCAGGTTATTTGCTTTAGGAAATGACCAAGATGTGTCAATGTTGTCAATATGTGGTGCTAAACATAAGTTTAGTTGTGTT